CGACGGACTCTGCCGGCGCGCACCGTGCTCACCCTGGCGTCAGGAGGGGCAGAGGGTACCAGACAGCCGAGCCCTCCGGTCAGGGCGTCGGCGCGGGAGGCGTTGGGCGTGGGGCGATGGCACCACCACCGCCACCACCGGGACGGATGCGCCAGCCGTCGGCCCCTTCACAACGACCTGGACGGAGAGATGGACCTCACCGGAGATTGACAGTCTCGCTCTATTTCACCTGTCGTGCAGAGGAGGTGCAGGTAAGCATCAAAAGAGACGCCCGCCACAATTGTCGAGGAACGTCGCTGCGAGATTCGGGCGTTGGCAGGACTGGGTTTAGTAGGACCTGTACTGGGGAACGCTCCGCGCCCCATTCCACTAACCGGAACTGCCGTCACCCGAAAGAACACCAGCCACGTCAGACCTGGTTAGTGTTTCTGGATAATTTAGGGGCTCCTGGGCCCTACTACTAAGAACCAGGTCCCCTTACCTGGGGTCCTGGCTATTCCCGAGAGATGCCCGCCCTTGCCGGGCGAACCGCCCCCAGATGCCCAACCTTCGTGTCCTCGTACAGGCGGATTTGGGCGACAATTTGAAAATACCCTCGAAAAATTCACAAGTAGTCCCCAAAAAATAGAAAGATCGTCGCCCGACTATTTTTCACTATTTTTGACTATTCCTCCTGTAGAGGGACACTCTCGACTTAAATCAGGCAGCGAGAGTGGACACCTTGACCATGGACAGCGCTTGGAGGTTGCGGGGCTGATGAACATCACCGACGACAGCCGCGCAGCTTCCAAGTACATCAGGAGAAGCGCGGCGTGCCAGACAGACCCAGATGGCGCAAATGGGCTGGGGTGATCTTTCCATCGCTTCATCGGCACCCTGGAGCGCCTGTACTGCGCGGCGTACCGCGTCGACATGACAGATGGCCCCGCTGTCCGTGGTCCAGGACTCCCGTGCGAACTCAAGAAGACCACGATTGAGGAGAACGAGGAGCACGACGCAGAGAACGCAGCTGGCCGATTCAGGGAGAACGACGAGCATGATGTGCGTCGCGTCGATCAGACTGGTGGAGCCGAGCTGGCGCGGCGCTCGCTGCTCTGGTCCAGCTTCGGAAACGAGGGCGTGGACTACAGCGGCGAGCTGGCCTTGCCAAGGGCGAGGCGTCGACTCGCTCGAGAGGGTCTTCCTCTGGCCGGGCGAGGCGCCTGGGCAGGCGAAGCTGCACCGACAACGTCTGGGAAGGCATGCTCGAGATGCCAGAGGACATGCCACGGAGGCGTTGCAGGGCATGGCCATCCAGGCAGAGCAGGAGAAGTATTTCGCGCTTCGACGAAACCTGCATGACAGCAGCAGACAGTATCACCCTGGCGGACGAGCAGGTCAGGGTGCTGAGCAGGATCACGAAGCCACCTCAGAGACGCGAGCAAGATATTAGCACCGACGGCGAGACGCCCTGTAGCCTCGTGGATATGGCCGGCAAAAAGGCCAAAGCCTTCAAGGAGACATGGGCTTGCAGCGACCTCTGGCTCAAGACCCGCGCGCAGTGCCTCACCGCGCTGCGGGCCAAGGCGCAAGAGGAGGACAATCACGACCCCTGGAACCTGGAAGACCTCGACAGGCGCTTGGAGGGCGAGCCCGGCAAGGGCAAGGGAACGGACATGATCTTCGCGAGCGACGTCCGACGTTTGCCCGCTCTTGGGCGGCAGGCGCTCCTCGACCTCTTCAACGAGCGCGAGGCGCACCTGACCTTGCCGCGGCAACTACTCCTGTCGGTGGTCATGGTCATGCCGAAGCCTGTCAAAGAGGTCGTGCACTGGCACTTCTGGCCCATCTGGTTCGCTGCTGGGAGTTGCCCCACCGTGGCCGGGTGCGCAGATGGGCCAAAGGGCACGGGCGAGAGCGGGGCGCGGCGATCGCTGGCAGCAGCTGTCTACGAGCGGCGCCGAGGAGGCTCCTCGCAGACGAGTGCACGGACGCGCTCGGCACAGTACGAGACCGTGCTCCTGGCCGACATCGAGACGTTCCACGACGGTCTGCGGATCGACGAGGTCGTGCCTGTCGCTCTGGAGATGCAGCTCCCAGCGCGGCCGCTCGACCTCACGCTCCAGCACTCTGCAGTTCGGGCACGTCGAAGCCGCGGGCCCTTCTCCTGGCCGATCTATGCGGACAGGTCCACCCTGGCGAGGTCGAGGCATTCGAACAACGTCGCAAAGACGGTTGTCTACGCGGCCATGGCACACCTGGCGGGCACGATCAACATCCCACGACCTATCACACGAGCCTGGTTCGACGACATCAGCATCAGGATCGCAGGCAGCAGGTTCTAAGTCATCAACGCCACGTTGGAGGCCACCCACATGCTGTTCACGCTCGGACAACATCTGGAAGCACTGCGACAAACGGGAGCCCAACGACACGTTCGACAGGGCCGAGCGACTCCTCCTCCAGGCCGTGGAGACACCAGGCGGTCCCCTCGTTCTGGCTGGCTGCGGGGCCGAACGCCGCAAGCTTGGCCAGCCCCACCCGAATGCACGACGGATGAGACGACGAACAACATCGGCGAATGCATCCAGGACGGCCGCCTCACCACAGAGGACGGCTCCCCCATCGTGGCGTACGGGGACGGCTCAGGAGGCAAACGCTGCCTTAAGTCGGGCGTGTCCCCCTACAGGGGGATTTTAGGCGAAAAATTGAAACAGACTCAAAGATTACCATCCCAAAAAGGACAAGTTGTCAAACAATCGTCCCCAGACTAGTTGTTTGACTATTTTTGAATAATCCTTCTGTAGAGGGACAGGCCCGACTTAAACGCAGCGATGACTGGAGATACCGAGATGCCGTCGCTGCGGCTGGGCTTGGGCAAGACCACGAAGGGGCGGCGACGACGACGAGCTCGCCGCGGGCCAGGTCGGCCCCCCCCCCCAGGCCGGCGCCAGGCCAGCAGCCGCGCAGAGCTCCGGGTGCTGCTGGGCTGCCTGCGCAGCACGGCCGGCGCGCGGCCCTGCTGGGCGGACAGCGAGCTGGTCTGCAAAGGGCGGCACGACGAGCAGTCAGCACAGAGACGAGGCGGGCAGCAGCGGCGACTTGTGCCATCTCGTCGGGCAGGAGCTCCAAGAGGAGAGGCGACGCCGAACAGGTGCAGATGCACCACATCAACAGCCCTCTGTCCTGGGAGGAGGCGGAGGCCGAGGGGTTCCCGAAGCACGCGTGGATTGGCAACTTCCATGGGCCGGCCGCTTCGCGAACCAGGCAACCGATGCCCATGACATTGGCGACCCGCAAACGGGGTTCTACGAGTGGGTCAACTCGACGGCAGCTCTTTTGCGAAGGCGGCTTATCGTGGCGACCCAAGACCTCATCAACAGGCAGCCCTCGGAAGGACACGACAGACGAGCTCAGCACCTACAACAGCAGAAGGATACCACCATGCTGAAGAGGAGGCGTCGAGGCGACTCAGCCGACGCCCCCCACGCGCCTGAGGGTCGACGGCCACTGACGACACACATCCTGACCAGGCCCCGACGAGGACGAGGCGGGAAATGCTGCGAGTGTTGCGAACACAAGGTTCGGCCCACCACCAGCATGGACGCGCTCGTGAAAAAATCTGCCAATAGTCACTGCCCCAACACCCACCCGTCGCACCCGCTTTCTTCCCGACGACCGAGAGCAGCTGGTTCTGTTGGTTGTGTGGCATCACCTCCACAAAGTACAGATCGGCGAAGATGGGAGAGAAAGGTCTTGGCTATCCGAGGCACAGCAGCATGAAGTACAAACTACGAGGCTGGGTGCGGCAAGCAGAATGCGAGGCCCGAAACCCCAACTCCCCAGCTCGGCCGCTACAGCACGACAAACGCCGAGCCGGGGACAACGCCAACCCGCTGGGCAACGGTCGGCGCCGCCACATGGTCTTGCTGGCAGCGACCCACACGGCGACCAGCGGAGGGCCCTCGAGACCGAGGAAGACTCAGCGGCCCACGACGCAGCGCGGCTCGGTTGCCTCCACTCGCCTCCGCCCGACGCGAGCGGAACAGGCCCGCGGGCCTCTGGGCCGCGGCTCCGAACGCGCGGCTCCGCGCGCCTCGGCCCGACGCGCGCGGAGATGGGGCGGACCTCAGGACTGCGACCCCGAGCTGTCGGCTCCGCGCGCCCCGCCCCGACGCGCGCGGAGACGTGGCGGACCTCAGGGCCGCGGCGCGCGCGGAGAAGGAGGAGGAGGAGGAGGAGGAGGAGGAGGAGGAGGAGGAGGAGGAGGAGAGGAGAAGGAGGAGGAGGAGGAGGAGGAGGAGGAGGAGGAGGAGGAGGGGGCGGCCCCCCGGGGGCGCGGCCCCTCGCCGACGGCTCCGTGGCGCCTCCGCCAGGCGCGCTCGGAGAGGGGGCCCGGGCCCCCGCGGTCCCCGCGGGGCGACCCGCGCTCGCGGCGCGCGCGCAGGGGGGCCCCGGCTCGCGGGGGGAGCGAGTCGGGGAGCCTGCGGAGCAAATCTCCTCCTCCTGCACCTCTGCCCTCCTCCTCCTCCTCCTCGTCCTCCTCCTCCTCCTCCTGGTTTCCTCTTCCTCTTCCTCTTCCTCTTCCTCTTCCTCTTCCTCTTCCTCTTCCTCCTCCTCCTCCTCCTCCTCCTCCTCCTCCTCCTCCTCCTCTCCCTTCTCCTCCTCTCCCTTCTCCTTCTCCTCCCGTGCGTGGGACCGCGCTTGCGATAGGGAGAGGAGGAGGGATCTGGAGGTCAGCCACTGCATCCGTATGGCCTGGAAGAGAGAGGGAGGAGGGAGTGAGGAGGCAAATGGCGCGAGTGAGTAAGTCCATCACCAAGTGATGAGAGGAGGGAGATGGAACAGTGAGGAGGAGCGAGGAGGATGAGAGAGGATGAGAGGGAGGAGGGAGATAGAGGAGGAGGACGAGGAGGAGGAAGAGGAGGAAGAGGAGGAGGAAAAGAAGGACCACGAAGAGGAGGAGGAAGAGGAGGAGGAGGAGGAGGAGGACACGTAATCCGATTCCCCACCCCCTTCACCCAGCGGAGCAGCGAGTTGTCCCAGCGGTTCTGCCGCAGGCCCAGCAGCAGCCCGACCTGCATGAGCGGACCCAGCGAGTTTGCAAACATGGTGGTCGAGGTCAGCTTGGCGAGCTCCCCGCTGCGTGCCCCCGGCTCGACGGACTCTGCCAGCATGACCAGCGGAGGCGCAGGGTGCGGGATGGAGAGAGGGAGGCGGATAAGGGAGGAGGGAGGGAGGGATGCGGATAAGGGTGAGAATAATCATGGTGGAAGGGTGAGGAGGAGGACCAGGAGGAGGAGGAGGAAAGGGAGGAGGAGGAGGAGGAGGAGGAGGGGGATGAGGAGGCGGAGGTGGAGGCGGAGAGGGCGGGAGGGGTGAGCAGTGAGGGGGGAAAAGGGAGCGAGGAGTGAGAGGGGAGGGGCAGGAGCAGGGGAGGACGGAGAGACGCGACTGACGACGCTGAGGCCGAGGAGGAACGCCTGAGCCGAGGTCTGCCAGCACACGGCGCCTGGGGCGAAGAGCGCGATGCCCGCGAAGATCAGCACCACGGCGAGGTGGCCGCGGTCCCACGGCGTCCCGGCCAGCATCACCCCAGCGATGGCGACCGCGAGGCCGAGCGTCCACACAGGCAGGTTCCAGCGGACCAGCGAGACGCGGCTGCCGGTGCCCCGGCTGGCGCGGTCCTGGCGGGGCGCTGGGAACGCACCGGAGGCACGAGCCTCGGACGCGGGCCCCCTCCCCACGCTTGGCGGCGCGCCCGGAGGGGAGGGGGGCGCGCGCAGGCAGAGGGGGCTGGGCTTATGTTGTTCACATCGTACTCACGGGCCGCATCCCAAAAACCCAGAAAAGCATCAAAACAGTGTCGACCGAAATCGCCTCCCAGGGCCCGGCACACGAAAACCCTCCAGTTTCGGCACTTTCCTGGTGCTCGGAGTTCTGTCTGGTGACGGAGGCTAGAAGTAGGTTGGAACATCATAAGGCTAAGCTGCTCAGAAGGCTCAGAAGGTATCCAGGCTCCCGAAAGGCTCTCTGAGCTGGCTCCGGAGACACAGGGGAAGCATCTCGGAGGGCCATGGGACTTCTGGGAAGAACCGCCACCCGCTGCGAAGGCGCGCCCACTCTGCCTTCCCCCCAAGGAGCGCTCCCCCCCACACACAAACAAACAAACCAAAAACAAACATACAACATATCAAACAAGCAACCACACAAACACATTCAAACATACATACAAACGTTCACACCTACATACACACATGCACACATACATACATACATGCACAACCATACACGCACGTATACGTTTCATACATATATCACGTACATACATACAAACATATAACCATACAAGCACACGATCATACATACATACATACATACATACATACATACATACATACATACATACATACATACATACATACATACATACATACATATACATATACATACAGACATACCTATATATATATATATATATGCCTACCTACCTACCTACATGCATACAGACATACATACAGGTGCAATCATACCTACATACATACGTACATACATACATACGTACATACATACACACATGCACATAATGCATAATACACACATGCATGCATGCACGCACACGTCCATACATACCTACATGCATACATACAGACATATATACATATATATGTATATATATACATATATATATATACACACATGTATATACACACAGACGCACACAAACGCACAAGCGCGCGCACACGCACGCACGCACGCACGCACGCACGCACGCACACACACACATACACATACGCACGCATATACACATTGTCCTCTTCACATACTTTTTTATACGGCCGGGGATCCCCCCCGCGCCCCACCCCCCCAAAACGAATTTCGAATCCCCGGGCTTGCGTTGCGCCTCTCTGCGGCCATCCTGGGGTCATCTTGACGCCCCCCGAACCAACCGGAAGCGAAAAAACGAGAAGGCCGAAAACATTGTGTTCTGTTTCGGAGGGTTTTCTCTGATGTTCGACTCTCCGGGCCCCGTTGCGCCAGCTCTGGGCCTCCTTGGGGCTCGTCTGGGGACTCATTTGGAGCCCTCCTGGAGCTACCTCGACGTTTCAAGAGCTGATCGCAAGCGACAAGGCGAGAAAGCCAAACACTCTGTTTTTCATAAAAGTTTCATTTTTTTTGGCCCTCTTCGGCCAGCCTTGGTCCTCTTTGGGGCTCGTACGGGGACTCGTTCGGAGCCGTCCTGGGGCAATCTTGACGCCTCAAGAGCAAATAGTAAGCAAAAAAGCGAGAAGGTCAAAAACATTCATTTCCCAATGGGTTTGCATTGATTTTCAATTATTTTGGCATTTTTTCGTCCAGCCCTTGACCTCTGTGAGCCTCGACTTGTTCCTCTCTGGAGCCACCCTGAGGCTATCTTGACGCCTCCCGAGCCGACAAGAAGCGAAAATGCGAGAAGGGCGAAAACATTGTTTTTCCTCGGGGTTGTTCATTGATTGTCGAACCTCCGGGCCCTCTAGGGCCAGTCTGTGCCCTCCTTCGGGCTCCTCTGGGGACTCATTTGGAGCCGTCATGGGCTTATCTTGAGATGTCAAGAGCCAAACGGAAACGACAGGGCGAGAAGACCAAAAACACGGAGTGTCTCTTTTTTTAAACAATGTTTTTTTTGTTTATAACACGAATGGATTCGAATCTTCGGGCCATCTTCGGCCAGCCTTGGGCCTCTGCGGGCCTCGGCTTGCGCCTCTCTGAGGCAATCCTGGGGTCATCTTGACGCCTTTCGAGTCATCCAGGAGCGAAAAAGCCAGAAGGCCGAAAACATTGTTTTCCAATTTTTGTTGCCTGATTTCTGGCTCTGCGGGCCCTGTTGGACTGTTGCTTTCAAGGGCCCTCCTGGGCCAGCCTTGGGCCTCTCTGGGGCCTGTTCTGAACCTCTTTGGGGCCCTCCTGAGGCCGCATGAGCCGATTGGCAGCGAAATCGCGAGACACATTGGGGAGAAGGAGGGAGGAAGGAGGAGGAGGAGGAGGAGGAGGAGGAGGAGGAGGGGGAGGACGAGAAATGAAGAGGACGACGAGGAAGGAGAGAAGGACGAGGATAATGGGGAACATGCAGACAGAGGAGGAGCAGGAAGAAGAAGAGGACGAGTAGGAAGTGGAGGAAGAGGAACAGGAGGAGGAGGTCGAGGATGAGGAGGAGGAGGAGGAAAAGGAGGAGGAGAAGAAATTAGAGGAAAAGGGGGGGAGAGAAGAAAGAGGATGAGGATGAGAACGGAGAGAAGGAAAAGGGGGAGAAGAAAGAGAAAGATGCCTTGCTTCATGCTAGACCAACCACTCGCCTGAGACGCATTCGCGCTTCTGGGCCCCGAGACGCCCTGAGCTGGCCTCAGCTGGTGTTGTCCGGTCGCTCCCGCTTAGGAATTCCTCACCCATTCCGACTTGGCGGTGGCCCGCCCATGTCCACGCGCACGCACGCCGCCTGCATTCGAAAGAACAAAGAACAAGGTGCATGGCGCGAAGCGCCTCTGCAGTCTTGTATGTTATATATGTATATATAGATATGTATATATACATATATGTATACACCTTGCGAAATGCTTAAGAAATCATGGGTTAAGAAATTCATAGTCTCAGAACTTGAATAAAAACCCAACATTTCCACTAAAATCTTAGGATTTCCATTGAAAAATTAAGAATAATCGAGACTCTGGCCGAAAACTTAAATGGCCATGTCGACGTCGCGCCGCCGTGGGAACTCCATCAGCGCTGTTGGTGTTGGAAAGAAGCAGCGGGCTTCCAAGCAAAAACGAAAGAACAGCACGCCGGCGGCGGTCTCACAGCGGCGGCGTGCCACGGCAAGTGATCCTCTCGCCGGCCAGCGAGGGGGGGGGAAGCGAGAAGGAGAAGGCGTTCTCAACGGCGGCGGGACTTCTCAAAGCCCTCCGGCCCTCTGAGAGGTTTTCTCGCTTCGGGGAGAAATAGACGAGCGCGTTCCACTACTCGCAAAGTGTCTACTCGCAAAAGGCCTGGATCCGCCGCGGGGGATATACGATAAATTACGTCGAAGCAGACATGTTTTTTTTCGGATGGTTGCGAGTGGGCACTTTGCGAGTAGTGGAACGCGCTCGGTGAAGGAAACTCCAGAAACGTCTCTCCAAGGCCGGGAGGCTCCCAGGAGCCTTCCGAGAAGGCGCGCTTCCCTCCCCACTCCCAGCGGCGGCGCGCCACAGAAACGGACACGCTGCGCGCTGCGGGGCAGCGACAAAGGGGGGGGAATCGGCACACGATCGGGGGCAACGATGGGGGGCGGCTGGCATACGAAGGGGGGGGCTTGGCACACGATGGGGACTGACACGTCTCGCCGAGGGGCAACGATAGGGGATGCATCGACCAGGAATCGGCGATGCATCGCCGATAGATCTCGGCGATAGGCCCCCGATGGTGACTCCGAACCTTCCTGGGCGGGTTGGGTCCATCGGGCCCCCATCGGGGCGATCCGTGGGCGATCGGGGGTCGATGCGTCCCCCCCTAAAGGCCCAGCCCCCGCCCCCATCGTTGCCCCCGAGCTTCGCTTCTCCCGAGCACCTCCTCGTGCGCCACGCGGGGGCCCCGAGAGAGGAAGTGTGCGGGGGGGGCGCTGTTGGCCGGCGGCCAGCCCGGGTGGCCCCAGGGGGGGAAGTCAGGGGGGGGCTGGCCTTCTCAGAAGGCTCTCCTCCTCCTCCTCCTCCTCCTCCTCCTCCTCCTCCTCCTCCTCATGTTCCTCCTCCTCTTCTATCTCCCTCCTCCCTCTCATCCTCTCTCATCCTCCTCGTCCCTCCTCACTCTTCCATCTCCCTCCTCTCATCACTTGGTGATGGATTAAGTGACTTACTCACTCGCGCCGTTTGCCTCCTCCTCACTCCCTCCTCCTCCTCCTCATTCTCTCTTCCTCCTCCTCCTCCTCCTCCTCCTCCTCCTCCTCCTCCTCCTCCTGGGCATCGGGCCTTCTGGGAAGCTTGCCAAGCCTTCCCCGAAGACACACAATCGGACCTCAGACAGGAGAACATCCTTCAAGAGCGTGAGACCAACCGCCGGCCAAAATGAAGAGCATTCGAGGGTGCCCTCCCCCAGGATGCACAGGAACGTCCAACAAGCACGGAGAGCACTAGGGTACCCTCCCCGAACCGACCTCGATCTTGTACTCCGACCGACTGGAGAACACGTTTCAAAAGGCGCGAGGGCTTCTTAGAAGCCCCATCGCCATCTGAGAAGGCCTGCCCCCTCTCACTTCCCCCCTGTGCTCGCCGCTGAGTTGGGGGGGATCCGACTCAGGGGGGAAAATATCGACCTGGAATCGGCGATACGTTGCCAGTAGTTCGGCGGTAGGCCCCCGATAGCAAGCCCGCATCCTCCTGGGCGGGCTGGGCTATCGGGGCCCTGCCCACGATCAATGGGCCATCGGGGGCCGATGCAATCTCCTCTGGGCAGATACCCCCCTGCATAACGCTGCCCTGGATCCGTGGAGCAATCCAGAGAGATCTGCCAGCGCCTGCAGAGTGTGCAGCCGTGCACGGAAAAGACGTGATTGGGGGAACCAAAAGGTACCGATACCGCCACTCCCCGGACTTCTCCCGAGGTGCGCTCCGACCGAGGCTCCGGGGCGAATCCAGCGGTGGCGACGAGACCTTCCCAGGAGGTCAAAGAGAAGGGAAGACGGGGACGGGTAGAGGTATGGGAAATCACCGTGTTCTCCTCGGGGTGCTGGGGCAGGAGGATCGGGGATGGACAGACCTCCCTTTAGTAAAACGTGGTTTAGTGAAAACGACCTGAGGCCCAAGCCTGGCGGGCGCAAGCCTGGAAAATAACGGCCGCGGCGCCCTCTCGAGAGCCGAAAACGGACAGTTCACTAATCGACGTGTCACTGTTGGGGGTTCTGTCCGCCCCCGAGAGGAGGGCAGCGTGGCAGGGAGGCCGAGGCGGACCAAAGAGCACGGGCGGGGCCAGGACGCCGGAACCGTGGCGTCGTGTGCGCGTACAGCGGCCCCCGTTGCCCCTGCCGCGGGCCGCGCGCGCCCTCGGCGCCGCAGGCCGCAGGCCCACTGCTCGGCTGGGGCCTCCTCCTCCTCCTCCTCCTCCTCCTCCTCCTCCTCCTCCTCCTCCTCCTCCTCCTCCTCCTCCTCCCCTCCTCCTCCTCCCTCCTCCTCCTCCCTCCTCCTCCTCCTCCTCCCCTCCTCCTCCCTCCTCCTCCTCCTCCTCCTCCTCCTCCTCCCTCTCCTCCCTCCTCCCTCCTCCTCCTCCTCTCCTCCCTCCCCCTCCTCCTCCTCCTCCTCCTCCTCCTCCTCCTCCTCCTCCTCCTCCTCCCCTCCTCCCTCCTCTCCCTCCTCCCCTCCCTCCTCCTCCTCCTCCTCCTCCTCCTCCCTCCCCTCCCTCCTCCTCCTCACTCCTCCTCCTCCCCCTCCCCCTCCTCCTCCATCCTCCTCCTCCTCCTCCCTCCTCCTCCTCCTCTCCTCCCTCCTCTCCTCTCCTCTCCTCTCCTCCTCCTCCTCCTCCTCCTCCCTCCTCCTCCTCCCTCCTCCCTCCCTCCCTCCCCTCCCTCCTCCCTCCTCCTCCTCCTCCCCTCCTCCTCCTCCTCCTCCTCCTCTCCTCTCCTCCTCCTCCTCTCCTCCTCCCTCCTCCTCCTCCTCCACTCCTCCCCCCTCTCCTCCCCGCTCTCAGCATGGCTCGGCCCCTCCGCCCGCAGGGCCGGGTGCACAGCCCAGATGCCCACCTCGGTGGCGGAGGGGCACTCGCGCAGGCAGGCCCCCCCCCCCCCGGTGCTCCGAGGCCTGTGTTGGGGAAGCCCAGAGGCTTGAGCAGGGGATCGACTCCAGAATTGACGCACGCAGAACTGATTGTCTCGTCGAGTCGTGCATAGAGTGTTCGTAGGTCTACGAACAACCCACACATTTCGCATGGATGCGACGAACAAATCAAGTTGGGGGGAAATGAATTCTGTAGTCGATCCCCCAGACGAAAAAAAACAGGTACGGCTGCTCCTCGGAACTCTCCCGCGGTGCATTCTGAAGAAAGCTCCGAGGCGAACCCGCCGTGGACGCAAAAGCCTCTCCTTAAGTGGGCCGAGGCGAAAGCGAGGCAGGGGCAGCGGTACCGGTGCCTCTGATGGGCGAGAGGGACAACTACGAGCAAACTTTCGGAACCTCGCGGAGGGCCCTGGGAGGGGGGTCAGGCTTGTCCAAGAAATCCGGGAGCTCTGACAGTTTATGTGAATGCCGCTTGCCCGCCTTCGATGTATGAGGTTGATGTGATGGCCTCCAGGGTCCGACAGCCAACCCAACGGCCAGGCCGCCGCCAGCTGCAGCATGCCCCGGGTAGACTCGACGGCGCCGACGAGCATGTTGCCAGATGTTCCGCCCAGCTCTAGCAGGAACGCGTCGAAGAGCGGCCCGAGGGTAATGGAGGTCGCGGCCTGGCCGAAGTAAGAGTGGTGGGGGGGGGCGCGGGACGTGGGAAGGGGGGGTGAGAAAGAGGGGCGAGGGGAAACAAGTAGGGGAACAAACAATGGCATAAACAAACAGATCCAGAGGTCCGCCCGAGAAATCCGCGCGGACCTCTGAGGTGCTGTGTCTACCATTGTGCGCCCCTTGGATAGGGAAGAGAGGGGGGGGGGGAGAGGCGGCGGGGAGAAAAGCAGGTTGGCTGGTTGGTTGGTTGGCTGGTGACCTCCCAGCGAGGCGGCACTTGGGACTGCGGACTCCGTCCCTTTCCGCAGTGGAGCGCCAAAGGGGCCCCGCGGGCGGCCGGCGGCCACCCCACGGCGTCTTCCCAGGGGTGGGTGTGACCACTCCCGGGATGGATGGGAGGGAAGGAGGACTTACATGAGAGGCAACGACAGGGGTCAGGGGGACGTAAGACCTGGGCACGGGGGACTCGGAAATCCCCGACGAGGTCGTCAAACAAAAAGACGAGGCCGAGCCTGCATTTTGACGAGGCCTCCCGCTGCAGACATCCCACGAAACTCCTCCTCGTCAAAATCCGAGGCGCGATCGTCGAAAAACGCTGGCGAACCCGAGTCCTGGCAAACCCGGGTCTTACGATCCCCCGAAGGCAAGCCCGAGTCCTAGCAAACCCGGGCGCATCGACCTGACATCGGCGATACATCGCCGATAGATCGGCGATGGGCCCCCGATGGTGGATCCGAGCGTTCCTGGGCAGGCTGGGGCCGTCGGGCACCTATCGGCGAGCACAAGGGCGATTGGGGGTCGATGCGCTGCACCCCCCCCCCCCCTATGCCTAACTCCTCCCCTACCGTTGTCCCCGATTACATGCCAGCGTGCCCAACCCTCTCCAAATCCCCGACCTCCCGGCGAAGGAGGGACACGCCCTCTCATACAGGAAGGCGAATGCTGGCTTGGGCCTTCCTGGGGAGGGGGGCCCTGGCGGCACTCCGGCAGGGATCCCGGCCTCGTCTCGACCCCGTCCAACGCCAGCGAACGGCACGGATGCGAGGCTGGCAGGATGGAGGAAGAGAGCATCAGACCTGGAGGGGATTTCCATGATTTCCGCCATCACGTCAGAGTGCGGGGGCTGAACCGATCGGTCATTCATTGTCCTTGGGTGCGTGGCTGAAGTGGAATTTCGCGATGCGGATTATTGTTATTGTTGTTGTTGTCGTCGTCGTCGTTGTTGTTGTTATTGTTGTTGTTGTTTGTTGTTGTTTGTTGTTGTCGTCGTCGTCCCACCCGCGACCCGCCCCGCGACCCACCCGCGACCCACCCCGCGACCCACCCGCGACCCACCCGCGACCCACCCCGCGACCCGCCCGCGACCCACCTCGCGACCAACCCGCGACCCACCCGCGACCCACCCCGCGACTGACCCCGCGACCCGCCCGCGACCCACCCCGAGACCCCCCCGGCGACCCACCCGCGCCCCACCGGCGACCCACCCGCGACCCACCCCGCGATACACCCCGCGATCCACCCCGCGACCCACCCGCGACCCACCCGCGACCCACCCACGACCCACCGCGACCCACCCGCGACCCAGCCCGCGACCCACCCAAAACTTCGGCGCCTGCGGCGGGTTTCTTTTGCATTCGTTCCAGGTGGAGAACCTGCGGCACACCCGCGACCCAAACCGCCCCCGCGACCCACCCGCGCCCACCGCGACCCACCCGCGACCCAGCCCGCGACCCAGCCAAAATTTTCGGCGCCTGCGGCGGGCTTCTTTTGCATTCGTTCCTGGTGGAGAACCTGCGACCCACCCGACACCCAAACCACGTTCAGTGTACAAATCAAATGTTCGGCACCTGCGGTGGGCTGTTTTTGAATTCCTTCCAGGTGGAGGTGGAGAGCCCGCGACCCACCCGCGACCCGAACTACGTTCACTGCAAGCCAAAACTTCGGACGCCTGCGGCGGGCTGTTTTGCATTCGTTCCAGGTGGAGAACCTGCGACCCAAACCGCGTTCAGTGTACAAATCAAAATGTTCGGCGCCTGCGGCGGGCTGTTTTTGAATTCCTTCCAGGTGGAGGTGGAGAGCCCGCGACCACCCGCGACCCAAACTACGTTCACTGAACAAGCCAAAAACTCGGCGCCTGCGGCGGGCTGTTTTTGCATTCGTTCCGGGTGGCCCACCAGCGATCCCCCCCGCGCTGAACTTGTCAGAGCACGACGACGACGATGAGGACGAGGACGCGGACGAGGAAGAGGAGGAGGAGGAGCAGGAGGAGGAGGAGGAGGAGGAGGAGGGCGCCATCGACAGGGAAGGTGAGGGCCATGAGGTCCGCCGGCTCGACGCCCGCGTCGCCCGCGCCCGCCCCCTCACTCTTATCCGCAATTGCGGGGTGCTACGTAGTGGTAAAAAAAGGCTGAGCTCAGCACTTGGGGAACAGGTCGTGATCGATCCTATCAAGATACTCGCGCCCGGCCTTGGTGATTCAGTGGGGTTGACAAGGTTACCTAAACCCCTGAGCTGTGTCAGAACTGGAGGGGAGGGAGATGTCCCAGAAGGAGGGAGGGAAGCACGCGCTGCCAGCCCATCCCAAGACCCAGCCCACCACAGCCCGGACCGGCTCTCGTGGGTCCGCACCGAAGTCTGGGTCGGCGCCAGACCCCCCCTCGCCGCACTCAAGACGCCACCACATCGGTGCCTCCGGCGTGCTCCAAGCGCCGGTGCAGATGTGTACGGAGTGGGACCCAGCGCCGAGCCAGGAACTCCACGCGGACCTCGGAAAGGGAGTCAACCAGGAGGGAGGGAGGGAGGGACCGTCCACTCTCCTGCACGAAGTGCCGCGGAGGAGACGCAAGAGTCCTGAGGTAGGGACTCCCGATCGACACAGAAGGCCGATCAGCACGCGCTGACATCCCCAGAAGAAGAAACACGCCATAAATATAGAGTTTTGGCGCTCCGCGCGGATCTCTTGGATCGGCGCTGGACCCCCCACCCCGGCGCGCGGAGCGGCGCTCGAGGCGCCGCTGGGGGGGGGGGGCAGCCGCAGATCCACGAAATCCGCGCGGAGCGCCAAAAAAGTTGATGTTTAGGGCGTTCTGTCTTCTTCGAGTCCCAATCCGGAACGGGGACACCCCAATCCGGACTGGCTTGCGAGTAGGGGGCCACATGCGAACCCTACCCCTACCCCCCACGATTTCTGAGAAGGAGGGTGGGGTTCACTTCGCTTGGGAGCTCCCGAACGCAGTGACCCCCCCCCCCTCAGAAATCGTGGGGGGTAGGGGTAGGGTTCGCATGTGGCCCCCTAGCGAGGTACCGCGCCGACCTCTGGGTCGGCGCCAACACCCCCCCCAAGACACACTCCGCGCGCAAACCACGTGCGCCGCACCCCGCGCGCCCCGGGCGCTCAGTTAGGCAGGAGGTGCCGGGAGGGAGGCCCCACGCTGGCCCCGGCAACTTCCGCGCAGACAACCGAAGGGGAGGCGGACGGGGGGGGGCAGTGAGGGAGGATCTAGCATCAGGTCGGGCATGTTCCCCTACAGGCGGATTTTGGATGAAAAATAAATCAATTTCCAAACGCACTCAAACATAATTCGAAACATGCTCAACAAAAGCGACCCCATGCTATTTTTTGACTCCTTTTCAAAACTCCTCCTGTAAGGGGACAGGTCCGACTTACATCTAGCAGCCGCGTTCCTTCACTAGGTGGCCACGTGTGAACCCTACCCCCACCCCCAACGATTTCTATATATATATATATATATATATATATATATATAGGGGGGGTGGGGGCTCACTCTGCTCGTGAGACCCCGCACGAAGTGGAGCCTCATCCCCCCCCTTAGAATTCGTGGGGAGCGGGGGTAGGGTTCGCATGTGGCCCCCGATTCATGGAGCTCCGCTCCCAGGCCCCCGAGCGACCCACAGCCTGCCGAACCAGCCGCGGAACTGCCAAAGCCCACCGAGGCAGCACACGCCAGCCGCAGCATGGGGCGGGCAGGGCCCCCCTCTCCCCCGCATAGGCACGCGCAGCCGACCCGACCCGGACCGCATCCGGGCCACAGCAGACCGGCCCATCTCACGGAGCAGACCGGCCCATCTCACGGAGCACCCGACCCGAGGCACGCCAAAGGGGTGCGGCGACTGGACGGCGCAGGGGGGAAAAGGGGAGGGAAGCAGGCGGAGACAGGAGGAAGGGGGGGGGGAAAGGAGGGAGGGAAGATGAGGGGTGAGGAGACGCAGGAGGAAGAGGAGGATGGAGGTGAAAGGGGAGAGAAGGGAGGACGAGGAGAAGGAGCATGAGGTAGTAGAATGGGGAGGAGGTGGGGGGAATGAGGGAAAACAAGTGGGGGGAATAGTAGGAGAAGGAAGGAGGGGACGAAGTAGAAAGGCATGGGTGAGGAAAGACGCAGAAGAGTGAGAAGGGGGGTGAGCAAGCGGTTACAGAGCGGGAGAAGGGAAGAAGGAAGACATAATGTGATGGAGGGGAAGCCAGGACGACTTGGCCTGGTTGAACAGCGCGACGCCCAAGATCCAGCGGATGTTCCGAAAATCGGAGCGCAAATGTCGAAAGCTACTTCCGGAGTAGGAGGAGGAGGAGGAGGATGAGGAGGAGGAGGAGGATGAAGAGGTGGAGGAGGAGTAGGAGACTGAGGAGATGGAGATAGAGGGAGAAGAGGAGGGAACGACGAGGATGAGGGAGGATGGAGCGAGGGAGGGAGAAGGGCGTAGGGACAGAAGCAGACACTCTTGGGACGGGGGGTGACGAGAGACACAAGCGGGAGGAGGAGGAGGAGGAAAGAGGAGGAGGAGGAGGAGGAGGAGGAGGAGGAGGAGAACGAGGAGGAGGACTAGGAGGAGGAGGACGACGGCGAGGACGACGAGAAGGGGGACGGGCTGGAATAGGGTATAGAAGAGGAGAAAGAGGAGGAGGAGAGGGAGGAGGAGGAGGAGGAGAAGGAACGAGGGAAGA